CTCCCCCCTCTCTCTCTCACTCTCTCTCTTTCTGTCTATCTCTCCCTCTCTCTCCCCTCTAAATGTATGCACATTGTCAATTTTTTGAAGAAGCCGCCCTCCCCTTCTTCTGTTCCCAACCTTTCCGAAACTTCTGAGGCACAAGTATCCTTTACTATTTTGGCGAATTCATGGCTTCTGGTAGTCAGTTAAAAAGTTTAATGAATCATTTTTTAAAAATTTTACCTATATATGCGTGATTTGATTGATATTCGGAACCCGTGAATAGTGGGCCAGGTGGCGTGCGTTTCAGTGGCCGGCAAGCCGCGACAGATTGAGAGAGATAGAGAGCGAGATAGAGAGAAAGAGAGGGAGAGAGAAAGGGACAGAGAGAGAGAGAGCGAGAGAGAGAGAGAGAAACAGCAATCTTCCATCCGCCGTAGTAATCAAAAGATACTGGGAATCAGAATGTTCTCCCTTCACCCCTCGTGGATGCAACACGGCACAAGGTTTCTTCTATTCAGCAGAGATCTCCCCAAAATCACATCACACCCTCCCAGGCCCAGCGAATGTTCCTTCTTTTATCCATTTTACCGGGCGCAGCCGGAGAATCTGAATATACGCTTCTCTCTCTTTCTCACTGGCTCTCTTACTCCCTCTATCTCTCTCTTCCTCTAGCTCTCTTTTCTGTCGCCTTCGAAGATGTACATCAACATTTTCCCAAAAACTCCTTCCTTCCCTTCCCTCCACTTTTTCCTTTCTGATGACTAACAACTTCACGGTGTCACCCAGCTTATCCATGTTGGTATTTAAGCGTTATTCAGAACGGATAGATTTTCAGCGATTATTGATATTTAGCAGCTGGAGCTCTCTGGCTTTTTTCGATATTTTTTATGTTTTAATGGCAATGGAAAAGCCAAGGATCGCGCCGCGACGCGCAACGCGTACACCACCTAAAAAACTCAAAATCCATTAAATACGCCATTACTAGCGTAATTTCACGCAATTTTGACTTCGATTACGTCATGAAATTATCACGGCTTACGGAACAAATCGGTAATCGATTACGCCATGGAATTCTGGAGTGCGCGTCGCGTGTCGTGGAAAACGCCTAAATCCATAGCCCCCTGCCTTGCTGATCCCTTTAAAAACGAACGAATATGTCGCTGAATTTTATATAAAATCTAGATGAAGAATCCTATGATACAATTTTTTCGTTCCCTTCCCACTCGAATTTACTGGATTTCGCGACTTTCATAATTAGTCGACTCGAAATTGCGCTCCGTCTTTCATAGAAAAATCTCAGAATGAAATTATTGGCCTCCCCATACTACTCCTGGCTAAAAACATCACTTTTTCTTGTTGGTGATGATTGATGCCGAGGCTCACACTTTGTTTAGGGTGGGTGTAGGAAAAATCAACTGATCATTTTGGCGCGTGACCAACTGGGGATTCGGGTTTTTGGCCAAATTCCGGTCGATTTCCGCTTAATCTAGATTCCCGGAAGTGATTTTCTCGCACTTAGAATCTATTTAGAACGCTCATTTTTAGCGTATACGCTTCGCTAAAGAGACAGTGACAGCCAATTTTGGCAAAAAAATTGCGTTTGGAACCGGAACCGATCCCCGAAAGAGCCGTTTGATTCTTATACTCCCCACCGTCATTAAAGGGATTCCCAACCTTTTCGGGGCTCAAAAAGCAAAAACCTTGCGGCGGGCGGGGGTCGAACCCAGGACCCCCGTTTTGTAGGCCAGGATGCTATCCATTAGGCCATAGTGGCAAGCCATTGGGTGGGATGGGGACGCCACAAGAGGGAAAGGTGTCCGAATTTTGTGCGGCACTGGCGCCTCATTGCCACACAAAATTCCCGCGTCATTTGTACTGCCCGGAATACATAACTATATATTTTCCACCAAAACCTTGGGTATCCCTTTAAAATCCATCCGATATTTTGGCGCAGTCACTTGTTTTAAAGGGAGCGTGACAACAATTTTTTACCGAATTTCCGTTTACGGTGGAATTCCGGCCGGTTTCAACTCAGTCGGTCTTTCCGTACGGATTTTTTGTATCTCAAGTTCCGAGATTCCGTGCCGAATATATCAGAGCGCTTGTTAAAGGGAGTATGACAGGAAATTAGGAAAAAAGAAAAAAGGGGAAATGCGAATCCGGTCGATTTACGGTCGCTTCCGGAAGACGACCCTTCGAGATGTCGGTCAGACGTTTCCGGTCGGCTGATTGATCGATTTCCGGAAGTGTTTTTCCACCATTTTGAAGCGAAATCTTGGTGCAACTGCTTTTTAAAGGGAGCGTGACAGTACAGTTTTGTGAGAAATTGCCACTTCCGGTCGTTCCCGGAAGGCTTTTTACGCTTTTTCACGTCTTCACGTCTTTTAGACCCAAGCCGTCATTAAGAATATCCATTTCCGTGTGTGGATTCACTTTTAAAGGAAGCATGACAGGAATTTTTGGCATGGGCATCGAGTTTTCGGTCGGTTTCCGGTCAGCCGGTCTTTCAGGAACATCTTTTCGATGCGAGCGTCTTCACTGCCATTCAGAATATCTATTTCCGTGTCGAGAATTGATCCGGCTTCTCACTTTATGGGTATACCTGAGGTTTATTAATTCCGTATAGAGCTCGCATCCGTTTCCCCTATAATCCGCTCTCCCCCATCCCTTCCCCTTTTTCGGAATACTCTCAAAATCCGGCCAAGGATCCGTGGGGTCCATTTTGTTGATGCGTCCACTCATCACAGCTCCATGTTGCCCATTTCCCCCTTTTCTCCAATTTTTTTGCGGGGTCCCGACAGGAAATCGTGATTTCCGGGGGCCATTCTGTCTCCCATAGACCCTCTGGCATACGGTAATGGGTCCCATCACGCCTGCGAAATTTTGCGGGGGCACGTGATGATGGGCAGATGGATGATTTATGCGTTAAAAATCTAGAAATTCTCTTTAGAACTACCGTAATATAGTTTTTCTTGAATATTCGATTACAACATGTAATTCTCACGGGTTACGGCAGATTTTCTGGTATTCTTAAAAAAGCCGGTTATGGCTCATTTTTGTTTTAAAAATACAGCTTTAAATTTTTGTCGAAAACTACCGTAATCTAACTTTCTAAACATTCGATTACGACATGCTATTAGCTAACCTACTCTAGAGGCTATTTTTCCTAATTTTGTGCTCAAAAGACCTTGGATCTCCCAGTTAGGCGGTTCCTGCTCGGGAATTTTTTTATTTGCGCTTTAGCTACCATAATTTCGGGTTGTTGAGATTCGATTACGACACGTTATTACGGAAACGATTACGACATGTAATTATGGTATCAGGTCGCGTCATGAACCTCGTGAAGCCTCAAAATACCGCCGTTTAATTCCGGATTCGATTGAGGGGGAGGGGATCAACATAAAAAGGCAATTCGGGCTGGCTTTCGATAGTAAAGAATGCGGAGAGACGTCATTTTTGGACTTAAACGGATTGTGACTAGATTTTCCGCACATTTCCATTGCTAGCTGGCCCGGTTGGTCTGGCGATTTTCCGAGGAAATCGAATCCAGCTCTCTGTATTCCATCGCACTAGATTTTTTGCCTGTGAGAATATTGAGTATTTGAGCGGTATTTCTCTCTCTCTCTCTCTCTCTCTGCTCTCTCTCTATCTCTATCTCTCTATCTCTATCTCTCTTTCTCCATAGCTTGCTCTCTCTCTCTCACTCTCTCTATATCTGTCTTTCTCCATCGCTTGCTCCTCTCTCTCTCTCTCTACCTCCCTCTCCCTCTCCCTCTCAATATTCCTTTTCAAAATTTCTTCCCATTCAACCAGACAGGTTGAAGGGAGTATCGATTTAAATATTCCCACGAAAATACCGAGCCCCACCACAATCCCCCTTTTGTTTTTTCCTCCCGACCATCCAACCATTCCCATAATTCATATAATTACTACGCGATTCAATAGTTTTCCTGTCTTGTTATCTGTTTGTCTGTATTTTTTCTGTCTTTCGCTCATCAGATTTTAATTTTTTAAAGGACCCAGGAAGGCAGTTCTATGGATTTCATTTGGGACTCGTTTCCGCATAGATTTGCCACACCGCGACACGCAACGCACGCTGTGTGCTTTGCTGGGACGCGTCTCGTTTCGCGGTGCATCTAGTAAAAATCGAGAAAACTTTTTGCATCGCTAAAAAAGCGACAAAAATTGATAATAAAATCGATAATTATGCCCTGTGCGGCTCTTTAAATCACTGAAATGCGTAGTAAGTTAAGAACTTTATACCATTTCTTTAAAAATACCGATCATGGAATTCACGACTAATGGCCCATCTGGCTGTCCACCAGTCAGGCCACTGGTCTCATAACACTCCGTCTGAATACAATGGACGGCAAGTCATCATGGAATATTGACGTCCATTTCTATTGTCCCCCCGACTCCGCTCTTTTCCTACCAATAATCCCACACAAATCGACGAATAACATCTATATTTTTGCCCGAAAAATTGATTTCACTCCCCCCCCTCTCTCACTCCATAACTATGACTTCCTCTTCCTGCTGCTCATCCGATATTGCAACACTACAACCCACAATTCACCGGTTCCGCGTTTTTCCGATAATTACAGACTATATGTATTTTCTGTATTTTAGTCTTCCGTCTCTCTCACTCTCTCACTCTCTCTCTCTGTCTCTCTGTCTCTCTCTCGTATTTTCCCATGATCTCATCAAGTCCGAATCGTGCGTTTTTGGGCGGTTTTCTTCAGTTAACTGGAGGCCATTTAGGGGTTGAATCGGGTGCAAAAGATATGAAGTTCCACCAGTTCCGCTTTCATAAATAGCCTGCGTAATCGAATGGTTGTTTTATTGAGCTATGGTTTTGCCTACCGTAAGGTCAGGAAAAAATGTTACAAACAGCACAAGACAAAAATTTCTATCGATTTAAATTTTACGCTTCTCTACCGCTGCTTGCTGTTTGTCTGTATTTCATGCCGTAATGATTGGTTTTTCGGAATAACCCAGACTTATTTTTGCAGAAAATGAACAACACGACCTCACAGCCAGGGCCGGCATGTATCGTCAACGGGGTGGGTTTTTGTCTTTTTTCCGCTAAACTACCGGCGAGAGATGATGTTCATAGCGTAATCGATTGCATTTTAAAGATTTGATAGCGTAATATATTCTATTCGACAAATTTCCTGGCGTAACCAATTCCTTTGCCTTTCAGATGATCACCGACGTGACAGTCGACCAATTCCTGAATGCGGCCGACGTCATCATGTTGCTTTCGTCAATTGTGAGTGGTTTATTGCGTTTAAACGGCTAAACAGCCCGGGAATCTACATCTTTAACTAGCTGGGTCTCGACGACTACGTGACGCTCCGCATGACGCGTTGATAGAACAAAAAATTCGCTTTTCCGTGTGATTTTGGGCGACGCGGAGCTGTCTAGACCTAGTTCTGACCCGGGGTTAATTTTTTCCTTTCTAGTACCTTTAAAGGGGCTGGGAAGCGCTCTGAATTATAGAAACAGCGTTGAAGATTACAAATTTATTTAAATGGTTCCAGGTATCATCCTTCTTGCAAGTGTACGTCATCCGTTCTGCCCTCTCTCATTTGAGAAGAAGAGCCAGCGATGAGTGTCTTCATCTATTTCTGCTTTCCATGACCGCTGGGGACTTGATTTTGACAGGTAAGAAAAAGCCATCTTGCAAAAATTATCTATGAGTTAAATTAAATAAGTTAAAGTTATGATTTGTTATTCTTTGTAGCGTTTTTTTTCATTTAACGATGAAAATTTTGTCGATTTTTCAAGCCATTTTTCTGAAACTCGCTATGAATCTATTGTATTTCCCTGCCATCCACGTCCCCTTAAAGCCAATTTTCAGCATTCTGCTACCCGCTGGAGATTATCCAACATTTCATCGGCTACGCCCCCACCTGGGTGAATATGATGATGCATTTCCTGACGTGGGCCTCCCTCTCCACGTCGTCCATTTCCCTTATTCTACTGAATCTAGATAAATTACTGTATTTCAAGTATCCACTCAGGTTAGTTTCCAACTTAAAAAAAGCGAAACTCTGAAAAACTAAAATAAATCGATTTTTCCGAAACATACCAAAATTATTGCAAAATTTTTCGCTATTCATTTTATTAAATAAGTCTCGCGAATTTTCTGGTCTCTTCATCATGAAAAATGAAAAAAAATCAAATTTTTGTATTTTTGTGATTTTTTGAAAATCCATTATTCCGGGCTTGCCGGTTCCTTTAAATTCCAAAACTACGAATTTTAAAATACAACGCAAATTTATTTTTTAGTTACTCGGCAGTTGTCTCAAAATCCAAGGGCATCGGCATTGTGGTGGCCACCTGGGTGGCGTGCTTTTCGTTTGTGTTAGCCGCCTGGCTGACCGGATCCTTTAAGTGAGTTTATATTGTAATTTTTAGGCATCTATAACGATATTAAAAGGCTTTAAAAATATGAGAAAATTCTAAGCCAAATTCTAAATTCCAAATCACCTATTTTTTACGTTTACGAAATTGCGCGATTTTCGACTTCTCAGCCCCTTTAAAAATGAGTTTTTGGCAAGCCAGCCGAGATTCTTGGGGATTTTTCCAGCCTGAGCGTCTCGTCGGCCGCGCGGCGTACGCGTTGCCTGTCGCGTGCGCATATTTTCATGCTTTCCATCTCTTAAAGGAACTCGAAAGTCTAGTTCGTCGGTAGATTCCTGGCAAAAATCCAATGCCTAACGACCCTTTATAGCCCCAATTCCTAAACTTTTTCAAACTTTTGTGGTTTCTTGGTCTTTTTGGAGACCCATTCTTATCCCCCGAAAATCAGGTAAATCACGTGCGTACCCCTGAGAATGTGTTAATAGAAGAAACCCGCGTGATCCCCCTGCTGCGGGCCGGATTCGCCATTTTGGGGGTGGATTATCCCCCTCGGATTGGATTGTGGATAATCCCACGGAAATCTCATAGAAAAACGTTCCTTCTGGGGGATATAAGAACAGAAATGTGTTGTTTGTTGTCAGACCCATCGTTTCCATAGAAAATTCCGAAACAATACGCCCCGAACGTACGGGCGGAGTGACGCGGAGAGGAATTAGTCAGGGGTGGAAAAAAGTGATTGGCTGATCAAATCCATGCCTCAAAAGTTCAAAAAATTAACTTAATTAAAAAGGCTAAAAGCCCCAGAATAGTGTGAAACTTTGCGAAATGCGCGCCAAATATTTAAGAGAAGGAAGGGATTTTTTGGGCAAAATCGACGATTTCCCAAGAATCAAAGGACTTTTAAATCAAATTGACACTCGAAAAACTGGGCTAAAATCTGAATCAAGGAACTGGAAATTTTTAAGTACATCTTAGACTAAAAATTAAAAAAAAATTCGTTTTTAGCTGCGGTCCGGATAACTGTCTAACGCTGAAGCTGTTCCACGGAAATACTGGCATGTACATTGGTTTTACCGTAAGTTTTTTTACTGTAAAAAGTTGCCTAGCGGAAATTTTACCAGATCTTTCACTTCTTCTAGTTATTATTACCATTTATTGGGATTTATCAATGTTTTTTTCAGATTGGAGTCTGTATCCTGCCCACCCTCACTTCTCTGGGAGTCGCGTTGTACATTCTGAAGATCGTCTCCATGCATAAGAAGCAATTGTCGGAAGGTAAGCAGTTGTGCGTATCTTTAAAGGAGCTAGGCAGGCAAACTGCAGAGATTCTTGTCGATTTGGGAAAACTGGATGTCAGAATAACCAAATACGCAGTTAAAACGAGCCAGCTAGCAGGGATTCTTGCGGAAACGTAAAATCTGGAGAACAGAAAGGACTAAAAATCGTTAAGAGCGAGCCAACTAGCAGAATTCCGTGGGGAATCTCCAAAAATCGTCGGAATCCACAATCAAGCGTTAAAACGGGGATAGCCAGCAAAGATCCTTGGGGAATCTTGGGCGATTGGCTGTCGGGAGGCAAAATCAAACAGCAAACAGGGACAGCTAGCAGAGATTCTTCAGGAATTTGCTGAACTTTCCGGTAACGTGCTAGAAATTCACAAAATTATAGGCCAGCTAGCAGAGATCATTAGAGAATTTCATAAAAACCAGGGTTGAAAAGCCGCTTCGCGATTTTTCAACCCTGGCCCCGTCTGATCCCAGAATATTCCACACTCTGCACTCGTCTCTCGAATTTTAGATGAGAAAAATGAAAAACGACTGTCTACACCTGATTATATAGGCTATTTCCACTTCCGGTGTATGCTAATTTTTCCCTAACAAAGTGCGTTCCCGAAAATTTTACAAAAACTTAAATTTAATGTCGAAAATCACTGATTTTGCAAAGTCTGATAAGCGTGCAGTCATCCCAGAGCCATTACGCGCCTAATGACGTATCATGCGTGCCTTAAAATTCTTCCCTATCGAGATATCCTCCGGACATGGTGACGGAACCTGCATGTAAAGTGGCACACACACACACAAACACTATTTTTTATATATATCGTTCGTAGATCGTTAAAACAAGTTAAAAAGTTAAAAAATTGTAAAGTAGGTTTTACTTTACAAAAGTTAAAAAGCGAAAAGGTTAGTGGGTATTTTTAGTAATAAATCTATTTTTTCAGAGCAAACGCTGTGCGGAAACAACAACGGCGGCCCACACACGCATCAAACATTCGCCTCTCGCCTCCGAACATTCTATTTCATCTTTATGACCACGATTTTTACGGCCTGCACATTACTACCGTATCGAGTTATAAGTAAGATATATTTTAATTTTTTTTAATTTTTAATTTTATTGATTTAAATTTTAAATACATATATCAAAATTTTAGCGTGACGTTTTCTCTCAACCCATTTTTTCAGACATGAAGCGCCTAATCTCCCCGGCCACCGGCCAAAGCCAATGCGTTACGCTACTATTTTTGTGGATTATGTGGTACCTCGTGCAGCTTAATGCGGTATGTTTTTGGGCTATAAAGGAACTGGCAAGCCTCCGAATCGACCCCTTGTCTCGGGTAGGTCTCGACAATTAACCTCGACGCTAAGGTCTTAGAATCGCGCTGTCGAGACCTAATGGATGGGGGTGGATCTTCCCGCTTTCCGGTCCCTTCAATCGACTAAATTACTGTAAAAATCCAAATTTTTTAGGTGGTGAACCCGGTGCTGACCGTAACCGTCCTCCCACAGTACCGGGCCCGAATCTGCCGGAAACTATTCGGGCTCTCTGATGGATCGGAAGCACATACAAAAGCTGTCACCGCGACGCATCTATAAAAACCAGCGGTTCTGCTTCTTCTTTTCTTTAAATTTCCCAAAAATTCGTCAAAATACCGTATTCTGCCGGCCAAAGAACCATAATCGATTACGATATGTAAATTTGTCGAATTTTTTTGGCCTGCTGGCTTAGCCGGCAGTAGAGTTGTTATAACTCAAACAAAACAAGGCCTCAAACAATCTTGTTTGAACAACGTTGTTTGATAGAATTTTTGGAGATTCAAATCAAACGTGTTTTGTTTGAGATGACCGTTGATCGCTCAAACAAAACAAGATTGTTTGAACTATTTGAGCAGTTTGAGTTTTGTTTGACCTTGTTTGAAATGCATGCTAATTTTGGATTTAAAGCGTGATTTTTCAGCATTTTCGCAATTTGCATAAATTTTTTCCGGTAAAATTTGTTTTTGAATGTTTGAATTCGCTTCCGATCCATAAAAAATCCCCAAACATCTTACCGTTTAGGGTGCTCAAACAAGTTCAAACAAGTCAAACAATCTTGCTTGATTTGATCCCCTGGAACTCAAATCAAACAAGGCTGTTTTGTTTGAAACTTTTTGAGCTCAAACAAAGCAAACTTGTTTGAGTTGTTTGAATAATTTGTTGTTTGTTGTTTGAGTTATAACAACTCTAGCCGGCAGTCAGTTTGGCCATTCCACTCAAAAAAATAACAAAATTACAGCAAAGTACCGTAATCTGCCGGTCAGAATACCGTATTCGATTACGACACCTCATTTTTGTCGGTTTCTTTGCTCCTATTTTCGTTTTTTCCTTTTTTGCCGAATTTGGACTTGCCATTTTGCTCCTCTATTTTTCTCTTTTCTCTGTGCTCTCTCTCCCCTTTTATGTTGTATTTTCCATCCCTCTCCCGTCTCCCCCTACGGGTCTCCAATTCTATCATTTCCACCCCCCCGAATACATATTTATTCCGGTTTTTTGCAATGTATTTATCATTATTATTTTGCGTGATTTTTGGACTTCTAATCGTGTTTTTATTCGGATAAATTGTGCTAAATTGAAGGTAATTTTGCATGGCACGCCAGCAGAGATCCTTGAGGAATTTTGGAAAGACAACTAGCGGAGAGATTGAGAAATAAAAAGGCACACTAGAAAAATTTTTCGAGGACTTTTTTGAGGCAAACTAGCAGCGAATTTTGGGGAAATTGGAGGCACTCTAACAAAAACTTAACGCCCCAGGCGATCTAGCGGAGATTTTTCAGGAACCGATGCAATTGCTAGCAAAGATCCTTGAGAAATTTTCAAAAGGCAGGCTAGCAGGGTCGATTCAGCATATTTTTGGGATCTTATCAATTATTAAGCCTGGACGGAAGTAGCGTAACATAAAAAAAGCATTGAAGAGGCGGCAAATTGCGTGGGAAAATCCTGGAATCCGGAAATCTCGACTAAAAAGGAGTTCCGGAACGGCCGGAAACGTCAAGCAACTAATTACGCATTCACCCAGGGGTGGACGGGGGAATTTGTGAAAGGAATTCTGACCTTTGGAGGGACGCACTTTTCGACTAGAGGGTGTAGTGGAAGGGCCTAAAGGGGTTGAAATTCTTGAGAATAAAATTTTGAAGTTTGAGATCAATTGAATTTCGTAAAGTTAATGACAAGCCCTAACCAACAAGGATTTTTCGAAAGTTTAGTTTTCAAACATGTTCCAGCTTACTGTAAAGTGTTTTTACTCAGGCTGGCGTTTTAGGATGGGACCAAGCCTATCTTGTGCAGAATTTTTCGCTGATTCCGCTGATTTTTGGTCTAAATTAAGCTTAAAAACGGCATAAATTCGGGTGCTGGCCCGCTATTCCCTGCCGGTGTCCAGGTACTGTTGTGCCCCTTATCTACCCTCCCGAATCCCCATTCCCAGTTGGCACCATGGTACACCGGTAAGCTGTTCGCTTGCCAGGCACAGGGCGGGGGGGTTCGATCCCCGCCCTGCACAATTTCTTTTGCTTTTTGCACAAAAACACATGATTTTCTGCATAAAATTGTGCTTTGACCTCTAAAACCATATGCCTAACCTATCATTAATGTGGCGCTTCGCGGTTTATGGGTTGTAAGCTCCCCAGCTTCGCAGCGGTTTCCCATGCCGATAGGGGAATTTCTCAGAATCAAAAGCGTCAGAACTCTTTGCATTTAAATCCAAATACTTTGTAATTTTGTGGGGTGATAGGGTATAGGATTGGCAATATCTTGACCAGATTTCGTCAATTTTGGTCGAGAATGTTGCACAGGGCATACGGTAAAAGCAGCAATAGCGCTGCGTGCCGGCCGTGCCGGCCGTCGGAGGTTTATGGCCAAAAAGGATGGTACAAGAAAGGAATGTAAATATTTATTGGCAAGGGTATTGAGGACTTGCTATGAAAGGGGGGAATTGTCAGCAACGCCGTTTTTCCCTTTTTCGGTAATTTCCTTAAATGTTAATTTTTGTAGCCAAAAGGAGTATAGCTATGCTATAAAGTATCAAATGCTCTAAAAACGACCCGTTCCATTAGACTCCTAAACTGATGCCGTTCCTGCAAAAAACCCATTACCTGATTGCACAACCAAATAATTTTCCCAAAGTCTTCCGAGCCAAACTAAAAACCTGTGCTGCTCTTAAAAATAAAGAACGGCATGCTCTGCTGTTCTGTTTTTTCATCTTATTCGTTTACTTTAAAAATACCTTCAAGGTAAATTTTTCAGGATTTTTCAGGATGTACATATCCAATACAACCCATCCAGCTCCAAAGATGTCACTTTTATAGACATCCTATAGGCTAGGTAACAACTGTATTAAAAGGCCGTTTGCGAGAGACCCGAACTGCCCCCATGATGGCTAGTGGCGCCGAGGCGCACAAATGGACCGGCAGTACTTTTTGGGGGTACGGTATCTTTCTACCGATCCACGCTTTAGGCACCGACGCTTTGTCGTTCAAATTCATAAAAGTAGACCGGTATCGGGGCTTTATGGCAGCTTTATAACCCGGGTTTTGTTCCTTAATACATTAATTAAGCAAAATGCTTTATTTGAAGCATATTCAACTATTAGTTTAGTCATATTCTATTGTCCTACCACCGCGTTCTTTTTATTTGAAACGTTATCTACACAAAACGCGTTATCTCCGTAGTTCTCACGCTTTTCCTTTGTTACAATAATTTCTTCCTGGTATTCGTCCAACCTTTTAGTATTTCGTGGTGAGTTTAACAGAAAGGTATATTCCCCATTACAGTGCCCCATCTGCTGTTCTCCGCCCGAAAATACCCGACAATATATTTCTTCAGATTTTTTCGGATGTTTTAGTTGTTTTTTAATCTGGTTGGCAAACGACTTTTCAACATGGAAAAGCAATTGCAGTACTTTTTGGGGGTACGGTATCTTTCTACCGATCCACGCTTTAGGCACCAAGAAATTACGACACCTAAATACAGCATTACACAACGTTGTACTCACTCTTTTTCACGTTATTTAGTAGTTTTTGCGTGAGAACGGTTGATAACAAAGCTTTATTGATGTAACAACGGGGGAATAACAATAGACCGGTAGACCGCTTTTTCGTTCAAATTCATAAAAGTAGACCGGTATCGGGGCTTATGGCAGCTTTTTTAACCCGGTTTTTAGTCTTTAATTGAATTTAGCTATTATTTTACTAATATACTTTTTCTTTTTGATACCGTGGTATTTAACACTACATTTAGTGGGTAAATACTTTAAATAGCATATATTTAGACTAGTTTAATAACATGCCGATAACTAGCGTCCTTTTCCGCGCCTTATGTGTAGTAGTTTGTGCTTCTACATCATCAGAGCGTGAAAAAGATTATTCAAAGTGAAAAAGCCGACTGTAATGGGGAATATACCTTTCTGTTAAACTCACCACGAAATACTAAAAGGTTGGACGAATACCAGGAAGAAATTATTGTAACAAAGGAAAAGCGTGAGAACTACGGAGATAACGCGTTTTGTGTAGATAACGTTTCAAATAAAAAGAACGCGGTGGTAGGACAATAGAATATGACTAAACTAATAGTTGAATATGCTTCAAATAAAGCATTTTGCTTAATTAATGTATTAAGGAACAAAACCCGGGTTATAAAGCTGCCATAAAGCCCCGATACCGGTCTACTTTTATGAATTTGAACGAAAAAGCGTCGGTGCCTAAAGCGTGGATCGGTAGAAAGATACCGTACCCCCAAAAAGTACTGCCGGTCCATTTGTGCGCCTCGGCGCCACTAGCCATCATGGGGGCAGTTCGGGTCTCTCGCAAACGGCCTTTTAATACAGTTGTTACCTAGCCTCTAGGATTTCTATAAAAGTGACATCTTTGGAGCTGGATGGGTTGTATTGGATATGGTTAATAGAAGGTATAAATGGAGGATAGTTTTTCATTAATCCGACCTAGTAATCCTGGGAATAAGGATATTGACAAGATATTGCCCAAAACGGTCACGCTCAAGAGGCTTGTAATCGGGTAAGTGAGCAATACCGACAATTGGGTCGCAATTTTGCTAGATGTACAGCAGCAGAGCCGGAAATACGCTTTGCCGTGGAACAGGCCTTGCTATTGTGCAAACGATTGGTCATGGTAACAGACAACGCAGCTGCGTTGTAAATTTCGTACGTTCCAGGAGTATTCTGAATCACCGGCCAAGCCAAATCCGGATAATTTCCATCAGCGGTTAGAACGACCGCTTGGAATGCATGTGGAGGGGGAGGAGCTGTTTTCCTGGACCAGAAACATAATGCCACCGGGTGTCTTGGCTATGTTCACCGATGGAATGCTTTCGATACCCGAATGTCATGCGGAGCAGTCGGAGCCGAAGGATCCAGCAAAAGAGCGATCGCTGAGAGAAATAAAGGAGCTATTAGGGCTTACCACTGCATTCGATGAACGTGTTTTTCGAGACGAGGAATGGCTGTGCAAAGACGGCTCTAAAACCTATCAGTGTGATGGTGTCGGTCATGAAGTCTGCAAAAAGACGAGAAGACAACTGTGCGACGAAATTTTCAAGGCGCT